GTATCCAGAGTAAGTGCTTGCACCACTTTTGGTTGGAGCCTATTTCAGACTCTGGCGACTCGAACGGTAAGGAAGTTTTTCCTTATGTCCAGGCTAAACCAGTCTTCCAGCAGTTTGTGACTGTTAGACCTTGTCTTCCCTTGGCGTGCCCTGGTGAATAGACCTTCTCCTAGTTCCTGATGCACCCCCCTTAGATACATCACTGCCTACTTATTGATCAAAATGGGATAGTTTTGTGTGTGTGTATGAGTGTGCGCGTGTTCCTAAATCATATGCACTTGTTCAGCTGGGAATTAATCCAAGATAGCTCTTCAGCCAGGGTCATGGAAGGATGGTCCTAAGGGTCCCTTGTGGCTTTGAAAGTACACGTATTTAAAAGCGCAGAGTCCCACTTTAACATGCCTAGAGTCCCACTTCTTTAGAGTAAGTCCCATTGCTGGGACTTACATAACTACATCCTAGTTACTCCGGGGGTGTCCATTACTGGCACCCATTGCTTATGGTCTCTTGCTGTCTTTGCCATGCTTACTCTAAAGTAAGCATGGCAAAGACAGCAAGAGACCATAAGCATTGCCATGCTGGGTCACATCAATGGTCCCTCTAACCATGTTCTGTCTCCGAGAGTGGCATAAATGGATGCTACAGAGGAAGAGCATTGACCCAGATATCTCTATCCCCTAGTCAGTACTCTCCCTGGCCCCCAGCATTATAGGGTTGTTACAGAGACCATAAATAAGAGAAGTTATTTAAGAAAAGTACGGCTTCATTACATGCTGGGGCCTGGTTCCCAGGCAGCTTCAGCCTCCCTCTCTGCCCCTTTGCCTCACCCTCTGGAGGGAAGAGATTTGCTGTGATTGGGGACGAGGCGTTTCAGGTCCCAGAGCCCCTTTTCATCCAGGTTAGGTCCAGATAGTTCAGATCCTTTCTGCAGAGCACATCTAAGACACGGCCTTTCCCCTTCATCCACGGAGCTACCACGCTCATCCAGGCTACTGTCACGGCACACCTGGAAGATCGCAACTCTCGTCCCTGCGACCTTGACACGCGTGCTCTTGTCCCGCTCTGCACCCACTGAGGATGCCGCTGCAAAGATCCCAGCCTGGTCCCTTGCTCTGACTGCTTCACCCTGGCTGTGCATCCTGCATCCCTCCCTCCTGAATTGCACGACTTGTCTTCACATGAAAGGCCTTTCAAAGCCATTGCATCTGTTATCTTCCGTTCGCTCCCGCCTCTGATCAGACCGTGGTGCCAGCCTCCATGGCCCAGGCATGAAACATTCAAGCCAGCACTTTCTTTCTCCACGCTGCTCCTCACTCCTGAGATGGCTTCCTGTGGATGTCCACAGATCTGATGCATAGTCCTTCTGCCGGTCTCTCCTTTGCGCTGTACTGTGCTTCATTTTCCAAATAACTTGACAGTAAAGAGGCTGCTGATTGCAGAGGCCCCCTTCCCATCATGGAAACCACCGCTGTCTTGTCGCTTCCCTGTCTGTCTCCATCCTGTTATCTTTCTTCTTGTCTTATTGCCTTGACTGAGAACTCCTTGGGGCCAGAGACCAGCTTTTTGTCCTGTGTTTGTACCGGTCCATCTTGGGGAACCCAAACCACGACAGTAATCCAAATCCACGATGCCCGCTCCTGGCTGCCCTTCCAGATTGAGAGTGATGCTTACTGTTTGGGGAGGCCAGGAGGAAGCCCACGTGGATGGAGCTGCCTCGGTCCCATGCAGGAGAGGACTTCTGTGCCCCAGGCTGGTTGCCAGCGCAGCCCTTCGCAGCTCAATGGCAATAATGGTGCAAAAAGAGCTGGTGGAAGCAGAAGCATTGAAGCTGCATAGTTTCATCTGTTTGCAGTTCAGCATTAATCGCGTCCTTTGCCTTTAAGCTGCCTTTGAAGCTGTGCTTGTCACGGTGGGAAGCAAGTGGGTCACATTGTTCAGGGTTTCTACTGCAACACGCCGCCTGCTATTTTTCTCTTAGATTATTTGTATAATCTTTGGGTACAATCTGTTTGCTCTCCGAGTCTCGCATGCCTGGCCTTACTCTTTCACAACCAGCCGTGCAATTTGCACTGCATACGCTGTATGCATTCGTGTGCGCACGTTAACCAGGCTCCTTCAGGCAGTGGGAAAATATTGAAATAGGAAACATACGTGTGTGCTTATTCACGATGAATCCCACCACAAAGATCTTCATGATCAGCAACTGTGCGGTGCGACTGGCTTTCGGGGAAGGGAGACCTTTGTTGTGTTCAGATGCAGAGAGATACAGCACTTCCTATCTCGTGGAGGGGGTTTTTTATTGTTTTTTCCCCTCGTAGGCTGATCAGGCAATAGATGCTTAAAAAAAAACACAACAGGCATCAGGTCGTAACCATGTCGAGTTTCTGCAGCCAAGGAGCTTCTGTGCTGAGCCGAAGGCTGCATCGTTACCGGTGGTTGCCTAATGTCAGGCTCCTAAAACCATCCTTCTGCACGTGAAGGCACAGAACTGGCGTGACCCTTCGGTGGCCCTTGAAAATCAAGCCACTTTTACCTTGTTCTGTGCCCATCTGTGGATCTAGAGGCCTCACTTCGGACATCCACCCTGCCGGACTGCCATGTCGCCACTTACACACAAGCTTATGAAAAAGGAAGTGATTTTTTTTCCAGCTTCCCACTGTGGCCTCTGCAGGCACAACCGTGATGACGGGTTAGTCCTTGGACAGGCCCCTTCCATGGAAAACCCTGGGAAGCGACCCTTTCCGGGAAGACGTGCTGGCCGAGATTGCCTAACTTGGGAATGGTCCTGCTTGGAGCAGGGGATTGGACTAGATGTGACCTCCTGAAGTCCCCTCAACCCTCGTTTTCTATGATCCTATGACTTAGCTGCTTGAGGTTGCATCTTCAAAGCCGCTCCCCAGGGAGAGGAGATGCCTTCCTGTCCTCTTCCCGAAGAGGACACAGACTCATGAAGGGGCTGAGTGGCTTGCTCAGGGGATCAGAGACAGATCTGGCAAATGAACCCACCATACCCCAACCCAAAACCATCACAAAAGAAGGGCTGTCTTTGGCTGCACTACCCAGAGAGAAAGGGACTCTTTTAAGCCGATGGGAAGTGCTCGCATTTCAGACATAAGGCGAGAGAGTGGGCTTGGGGGGGTGGAAATCAGGCCCTGCATTGGGATGTTAACAAAGCTAGCTGAGAAGTGTTTGTATAGACACTCCATTGCTCTGTGTCCAAATGCCTCATAAAAATAATACTGGCTGATCACAGAACTGCACGCCGGGGAGAATAAATTCTTCTGCAGAATATTCCCTCTGGAAAAACACTGTGTCAAGCAATACACTAATGGCTTTCAATCTCGTGTTGTGTATATATAGATATTAACTGTTCCCCAGGCAGCGTTTCGTATTACAGCAATACCGCGCGAGCATCGCGGAGACCACTGAGCTCTTTTGGCCCGGTCTAGGCAGAGAGGAGGGGGAAGCCTCCCTCCTGACCGTACCCCTCCACCTGCTGAGTCCTGACCGCGAGGCGCAAGGTCCAAAGATGAAATGACACAGTAATTCCCCTCTTGGGGAGCTGGAAGTACTGGCCAGATCCAGCCCGAGGCCCTGCCTTGTTCTGTTATGTGCCCATTTACTCTCTGGCAATGGGGACTTTTTACCATCTTTAATTTTCCCAGAGGATGATGAAGGGCCTTTGAGCCTGAAAGCTTGCAGAAAAAGAGATTTTGAACTTTTTTTTGCGATTTCCTAATAAAAGGTATCGTTTCTGCATCGAGAGTTTTAGATTTTTGCATTTCTTTTTGTCTCAGACCAGCCTGGCTACCAAATACATCCCATTTACTCTCTGAAGGTGTCTCCTGCATTGCAGAAGTTAATCAGTCCCAACACTGACTTGGGCTAGAAGGTCAATCATTCCTGGCCCAGGATGAATGGCATCATTCAGGTGGAGGGCGGTGGCAGAAATGTGCCTATGGAGGACTGCTTTGAGCTCCTTCTGTACTGTCACCTTCTCCTTGGAGGTGCCCTTCCCGCTTGAGCCGAGCAGCCTTCCCCTCTGCCCCCCACCCCTTTAAGCCATGTCGCCCATGAAGCAGTTGAGCAAGAAGCACAAAGCCTGAACCAGGGTGCATGTGCGCGAGCGCATGGTACCCTGTATTGTGTGGTTGTGTTTATGCGGCGCTATTTATTTCTGAAGACCTCATCGAGGGCATCTGCACGTAGATGAGCTGCCCCTGATTTGCTGCTCCCGAACACCACTGTGCATGCACACATTTAATCTGGAGTAAGAAAGAGTGCATGCAGATGTCAATGTATTCAGGAGCAGGCATTGCACTTTACATTCTCACCCGTCTACCACCATCTGCCCTTGATGAGTGAGACCGTGTGTCGTTCTCCCAAAACTTCCAACCATTAGGCTGCCAGTATTTAGCTATGCTGAATTGGAAAAAAACCTCTCCCCTAACTGACACAGCCAGGCTGACAAATACCCTAGATGTGTTACACCAGCAAAATCCATTTGCTGGTGGAGCTTATTTCATTCAGAGAACAGGTTTAAGGTCTCCCAGCAAACGCTCTTTGCATGGTATAAGCTGTGCATCCGCTAGTGAGGATTGCCGTTAACGCTGTACTGGCAAACCTCACACAAGTCCGTAGTCTCTTTGCTGTGAGCCCAGCGACCCTGGGTCTCCTCGCGTTGCGGGTTCCTAGCATGGGAATGCAGTGAGCTGGTTTAGGCTCAGCGAGTCACTTTGCAGAGAGCACAAAACAGCTCTCGGTCGGCACTGAGGGATTGCTCCGTTGCCGTGGGCTGGATTTGATGGGGTGACGCAGAGGATCTGCCCAAGCCCAGAGCACCCTCTCCTCCCAACACGTAGGCTGGGATGATGGAGTCGGGGCTGGTTCTGCTTGGAGCAGGGGGTTGGACTAGATGTGACCTCCTGAGCTCCCTTCCCACCCTTCATACATGTTCGTTGCTGCCATGCATGACGTGGTGTCTCTTCTTTCCTCCCCAGGCCGTTGCGCTCGTTGCGGCGAGAACGTGGTGGGGGAAGGCACCGGCTGCACCGCGATGGACCAGGTGTTCCACGTGAACTGCTTTACCTGCATGACATGCAGCAGCAAGCTCCGGGGCCAGCCTTTCTATGCGGTGGAGAAGAAAGCCTACTGCGAGCCCTGCTACATCGTGAGTACCGTGGCTGGCTTGTACCAAGGCAAAATGTCTGTCGAGGTTTCCTGCCAGGCTGCAGCAGGCAGAGATGCCTTCTGCTCAAAACTGAGCCAGCCTATTTGGATACAGAGAGGATTAACCCACCTGCGCTCTTCACCAAAGTTTAGCTTTTAACCTGCCAGTCATTCTCGGGGTCCAGCCAAGCCCTGGAGTGAATGTGCCAAAATACAGAAAAGGCTTTGCATCTCTGACCGTCAGGCTATCTAAGCACATATCCTTCTAGCAATGTCGCTTGACCCCATTGCCGCAGCAGTGGCCCTAGGAGCAGAAGTGTATTCTGGGAAGGCACTGGCCCCTGCTACATCTAGCAGAAGGCGCATGAGTCTCCATACCCGTCGTTTGCCAGCTGCTGGATGGCGGGAGCAAGCTTATTCCGCTCAGCAGAGGTGGTATGACTTTGTTGGCAAAAAACACGAGGTTTTCACTGCTGCAGAGGGGCGTGGAGTGTGCACATAGCCTCACAGTGGGCGCATTTACATGTTTATTAATGCACCTTAGATACTGTGCATTTAGTTTAGTACTTGCTTAATAAAGTACTAACTAAATGTGCAGTAACTAGAGCTGCTGCACAACAGTGCCGACGCACGCTTACTTTGTGATGCTTACTGTGCATTAGCCTAATAACACTGTGCAGTAGGCTATTAGCATGATTTTTTACCACCACACCATTAGGCTAATGTGCGCTCGTGCAGACGTGCCCAGTCGGGTGGAAATGGAAATAACGGCACTCTTAGAAACCGGCCGTATTTTGGAAGGCTTTACAGCCTGGGAAATCTGACTCTTGTAAGTCCTTGAGCAGGCAAGACTCCCACAGAAGGAAGTGTGAGATGACGGATGAGGACATAAGTTTGCAAGGCAGCTTTGCAATGCAATGCAGCATCCGCAGTCTGCAGTGCGTAGCAGAAGCTTCAACCCGATCCGGGAAGGCAATGGGAGCCCTTCCTCTGAGCTCCAGGGCCTTGGCATCAGGTGTGTCTCGAGGTTCACTTCTCGTATCTTAACATTGCATTTGGATTTCGAGAAATATCTAAAATCAAATGACCAGTGGCTGCGGGGGAGCTGGACTTTTGGGGGGCTCCTGCAAGAACTGGCTGCCCGGTTATCACAAATGAATCAGCCTTTTGGTATTTTGGCAGTGTTTTATGATGATCCCTCATTTCAGAGTAGGGAGAAGTGCAGGCGGTCACGGATGGTGTCAGTGGGTTTTCTTTGTCAGTCTCTAAGTCTGAGATGCCTTTGTACCATTGCTGTCTTTTATCAAACATTGGAGAAGCATATTTATTCTTGGGTCATACAGGTTGGGGGCTCCAGTCATGTATAACAAAATCTCCACCAGTTTGGAGTTTCCCGTGCAAAGTCCTGAAAGGGGTGAAGTCCAGCACGCTGGGGGCCGAGGAGGAAGGAGAGCCGAGGGCCTTGTGGATGAGGCTGTTTGAATCTCTTTTATAGCTTCTTAAGTTTTGAATGCCGTTCCCTGAGGACCAGCTTTCATTGCTATTCAAAACATTAATTCCCAAGCGTGGTAACAATCTCTCATTATTCCTTGCCTTTGCTGCCTGGCATTACTGCTGAAATACGGAGTGCAATAAGGGAAGGTTGTGCCTTATATACAGTGTCAGCGGTGGCTGGTCTTTGTTAATTGGCCCTTAAAAACAAAACTGATTTTGTGACGGAAGATGTGCTTTTGAAACTATTTTCCCCCCTTTTACTGTGAGCATTAAAATTACTGCGCCATAAAAATTTTAAAGTTAATTTTGTGGCACGTATGGTGGCCGTTGCAAGGGGACGGTAAATCGTTGCAAGGTGCATCGTAATGCATTTGGAGCAAGTTTTTATCGCCTGAAGTTAAATGTCTCATTGACTTCAAGCTGGAATCTACTTTGGCAGCTTGCAGGTTCCTACGTCTCTTTTTGGGGGGTTAAATCATGAACAATTTCTTCTGCACGCATCTGCTTTAGTTTGGGAGAACATCTGCATCAGCCACTGTAATAGCGGTTTAAGATTATTTAATCCCATTACTTACACACTTCATTAGCCTGAGTGAATTGTTGGCAAAGGTTCAGTAAACTTCCTACATTGGAAGATAAAAGGATAAAAGAGAAAATACAAAAGGATTCTGTTCCTCATTTTCTTTCATATTTATCTTCTATCTTTTTAAGGGATAAAGGAATGATAATTGCCTGGCTGCATCTGCGTTAGTACGTTCTGCTATACAGATTTGAGTGCAGCGTAAACTCTTGATGGCTTTTTTTTTTATAGCCAAAAAAAAGTCTGTCCTTTAAACATTCACCTATGCATTGCACAGCAAAGGGCCTGGCATAAAAGACTCCCAAAAGAAGGAGAGAGCGGTAAAAACAGGAAGGGCTGCTTTTTGTTGTCATGAGACTAGGGACCGTGGAGCTGCAAATTCCCTCAGCGAAGCCTGTCAGCCCTTAACGTCGACCTGAGGAACTAAGATGGGGAGAGTAAATCTCATGAGCTTTCAGCAAGACTAGAAAGTGCATTTCTCGCTTTGGAAGTTATGAAATCGGCTCCTAAGTCCTGGGGAGGAAAGAAGAGACACCACGTCATGCATGGCAGCAACGAACATGTATGAAGGGTGGGAGGAAGCCTGGGGAGGAAAGAAGAGACACCACGTCATGCATGGCAGCAACAAACATGTATGAAGGGTGGGAAGGGAGCTCAGGAGGTCACATCTAGTCCAACCCCCTGCTCCAAGCAGGACCAGCCTGTAATTTTGAGACTAACCTTTCAATACCTTCTTAAGTCCTGTTTAAGTCAGCACTTGAGGGGTTTGCAAAACTGAGGGATCAAACTCTTGGATTTTCCCTAAATCCAGCTTTCAAAAAGGCCCTAGTCTTACACAGCAGAGGCCAAACTTTTGGGTAGGCATGCCACAGATGACGCTCCACATCTTCTCCAGGTGCTGCTCTGATCTCCTGCCCCTGGTTTCTGCTTCTGCCCTGGTGCTTCCTGCCTGATGTGTTGCTCTGCTTTCTGCTCCTGGCCCTATCTGCCACTGTTTGGCCTGCCCCCCTCCCCAGTCTGCTCCATGCCACACACGCAAGGTGCCTCTGCCATGTGCAGCACCCATGCTACAGGTCGGCCACCCTGGTCTATAAGCTGCAAAGCTCCCAGACTTTGACTATAAAGCCCTTATGAAAGTTTGATTCAGGTTTCTAATTCGCCTAGGTTCCTCTGAAACCTTGTAGGTCGCCAAGCTCTAAAGTTGTAATAAATAGCTTGGTGTCTAGTTGACAGCCAGGGTCAGTGGAGTGCCCCAGGGGTCGATCCGGCAGCTGGTTTTGTTCAGTAACTCCATCAACGACGTGGAAGGTGGGATGGATGTACCCTCAGCAAGTCTGCAGATGACACCAAGCTGGGGGGAGTAATGGATACACAGAAGGGTAGGGCTAGGATTTACAGACCTAGACAACCTGGACCAAAAGAAATCTCCTGAGGTTCAACAAGGACAAGTGCAAAGTCCTACCCTGAGGAGGGAGCGATCCCCTGCACCGGTGCAGGCTGGGAGTGATGTGCTGGGCAGCAGCTCTGCAGAAAAGGACCTGGGAGGACAGGGGGCAATAAGATGGATAGGAGCCATCTTATTAGGTGGCTTAGTGCCAAGAAGGCTACCAGCATCCTGGGCTGCATTGGTAGGAGTGCTGCCACCAGATCGAGGGCAGTGATTCCTCCCCTTTATTCAGCACTGGGGAGGCCACATCTGGTGTCCAGCTGTGGGCCCTCCACTGCAGAAAGGATGGGGACACATTGGAGAGAGTCCAGCGGAGGGCAATGAAAATGGTTGTGAGGCTGGGGGACAGGACTGGTGAGGAGAGGCTGAGGGAAATGGGCTGATTGAGTCTGCAGAAGAGAAGACAGGGGGATTGAATAGCAGCCTTCACCTCCCTGCAGGGGGGCTGCAAAGAGGATGGAGCTGGACTGGCCTCAGTGGGGGCAGATGACAGGACAAGGAGCAATGGGCTCAGGCTGCAGCTAGGGAAGTTGAGGTTGGATATTAGGAAAAACTTTCCCCCTAGGAAGGTGGTGAAGCACTTGAATGGCTTACCTAGAGAGGTGGTGGAGTCAGTCTCCGTCCTTGGTGGTTTTTAAGAGCCGGGTAGACGAAGCCTTGCCTGGGATGATGTTGGACTACATGTGACCTCCTGAGGCCCCTTCACACCCTCATTCTCTGATTCTGGGAGAGTCTTGCCTTGAGCGCACGTAACTGAACCAGGCTTAGAAACCAGAGGTCTGATTCTCAACTGGCATAAATCAATGGAGCACAACAGAGCTACCCGAATTTACACTGCCTGCCGCTGTGACCCCAGAAATTCTTGTCTCTTATCCCAACACTCACGTCACTAAAACCAGCTGCCTCATAAAAAAAGAAGACAAAAAGGTGTTTGGCTTGTCTAGATTTAGAGCTCATGAATTTTTTGCTCTTCTAATAGTTCCCTTTGGATGACCCACCGTGTCTGCGCAGATAGGTCATCAGGAACAACCAAACAGGCTACAAAAGTTTCTAGACAATTAACAGTTGGCAGACATCCCTTATTGTTGTGTTTCCCATCTCGTCTTGGAGAGAAGCCATGGTTAGGTTGCAACGAAGAAAGGTTTGCCTAGTAGTCAGCAGTGAGACCAAACAGCCTATGACCGTATTTTTTTCTGGGTTTATAAATAAAATAATAGAAAATAAGGGCTGGAAGGGACCTCAGGAGGTCACATCTAGTCCAACCCCCTGCTCCAAGCTGGACCAGCTCCAGCTACATCATCCCAGACAAGGCTTTGTCTACCTGGGTCTTCAAAACCTCTAAGGATGGAGACTTCACCATCTCTCTGGGTGACCTGTTTCAGCGCTTCACCACCCTCCAGGCGAGACAGTTTTTCCTAATACCCAACCTCAACTTCCCTTGCTGCAACTTCAGCCCATTGCTCCTTGTCCTGTCATCTGC